GCACTCGCTTACGTCATTGTCATGAGACACTATCAAAAGACACTCAGAAGCCGGGGCAAACTCTGACAGGAGATGTCTGGCAGACCAAAAGAGGACAAGTTTCTGACTGTTAACAGCTCGCATGATGGGCAGCTCACAGGACAACAGCGTCAAGCAAAGCTTAATAGTGGTTTTAGCAAGCAAGTCTCAGTTTCAACTGTGAAAAGAAGACTTTGATTTAAAGGTTTGACAGGACAAGTTACTAAGATGTCAGAATAAGACAAAGAGGCTTGCCCAGGCCATGGAACACCACCACTGGACTGGAAGACTGGAAGAAGATATTATGGACTGAAGAATCAAAATTTTAAATATTTGCTTCATCAAGCAGGATTTTTGAAGAAAAAACGGTAATTGGATTACCGTTACTTTCCCGTAAGCATGCTCCGTTACTGCGTTACTAAAGCTGTGATTTTTTTTTGCGAGAGTGGTAGCCACACACTACTTTCTGCACAATAATACTGTTTAACTGATCCTCACAAGGTACCACAGCATGTTCCAACACTGCTTTTATGCAGGCAAAGAGAGTTGTAAGTAATCCAGAAAAGTTGAAAAACCTGTAGGAATTAGTATCACCAGTCAAGGCTTGATCAACCTCCATTTCTGCAGAACAGTTTTAAATTGGTAGCATATTGTGTGTTCCCTGAAAAAGGCCTTTTTGTATGATTCTGTATGATTATTTTTCAGTTTTGCGTTTCCATAACTTTTTTTAACCTCTGGCAGTTCATCACTTACAGTACCTTCGTACAATTTCAAGGTATTTATTGGACTTAAACAACTTGAATTGAAACAAATGACTAGAAATGTTTGTAGCATATATATGTTTCTTAATTAGGAAAAAGAATTAACTTGATGTTTATGGAGAAATGTTGTATTAGTCGGAAATCAGATCTCACCTGGGGTTTTGGTTTCCATTTCGTTCCAGCGAGTTCCCGATCAGGATCTGTGCCCCAAGAATCCTTGGAATAAAAGCATCCTGTCTGTTGAGGATGGTGACGGCACTGACTTTATAGACAGCCAACAAGTCTACTCTCCACCAGGGACCCAGATCTTGATCATTGTGTGTACAGCATCCTGAGTCCAAGTTTCCATTCCTGCACCCATCAACACCTTTTGAGGGCCCAAACACTGGCCCATACCAAGTTGATGACTGTACTGTTTGTTTGTTTAAGGCCACGTTTGGAAGCGGTTCAACTAAATTGTGGAAAAGAAGAAACAAGTATGAATCAGTATCAGGCAGATGTGTTTCAGTAGATCAGATCCAGTCACTTAAACCTCTACCTGCTGGGGCAGCATACACCTCCACTTCACACAGGGTGAGAGTCTTCGGCTGTCCAGGAAGAAACACGTTCACAAAGCGACCCTCCATGCTGCCTCCATCACACCGGTATGTGTAGGTTTTACCCGCATTGATATGTAAGATGGAAGCACACCTGACAACAGAGAGTGTGGGGGCAGCATTATGTTAGTATTGTGGACTTTATGTTAAGGAGGTAGCATGGAGTCCTGAACTAGAAGAGCAATAATCAGCATGTGGTGGGTAATATGTAGACTCTAATCTCTGAAACATTTGCTTGTTTGTTTTATTTTTGATTCAGAAAAAGGAATAGATGTTACAATCCCTGATCATGAATTGTATGGAGTCCTGGACTAGAGCAGCATGTGGTGGATAATATTTATGTTGTAATCTCTGAAATATTTCTGTTCAAATTAATGTAAAATAAAACAAATAAATAAACAAAAATCATAATGAACATTGACTGATATAAAGTCATCATTACCTGGGATTATTGTTTCCATTGTTCTCCAGTGAGTTTCCTATTCTGATCTCAGCTCCATCCAGTCTTTCAGCACAGCAGTCTCCTCTGTTGGTGACTTTTACAGCAGTGATTGTAAAGCTTCGCTGCAGGTCCACCCTCCACCAGGGGTTGGTCTCGTCTTCAGCCGTGTGGCTACAGAACCCATTGCTATAGAA